ACATGGAAATGAAACTTAAATCTGCTCTTTCAAAAGGAGTGCTGTTCTTTTGTTAACTGTTTTTGCAAGTGCATGATGATATTCTGATAGTGTGTGTTTCGACTGTCAACAGCGTCACTACCGGAGTTTAAATTTCTCATCCCTTTCAAAAGAAATGCCAACATCTATGGAAATTTCACTAAACCTTCAGCAGGTGTGTAGCGCCAATGCTTCGCTGTAGCTCAGTAGCATCAACACAGCTTCAAACGGCCGACTCAAACCTGACCTCCACCTCGATATAGTGTCAACAGTGTGTGTGTGCATGTGTGTGCAAATTTGCTTCAGTTCATTTTTATCATTTGATTTCAGTTCATCGTGATGAAAATCACTAGTCGTGATGTTTCTCTTCAGCCTGTTCTTCCCTGGTACATTTCAAATCTCTGCCCTGTGTGGAAAGAATGCCGACAATCATGTCTATCTGAAAGAGGATTACTCGGCCCTAACATCCGTTCAGCAGATTTTCCGTTATATATATATATTTATATATATTTATGCCTTTATTTGGAAATAAAAGCTCTTTTTTAAATCCCTTTCTCTCCTTTTAAACTCAGAACATCCGTCATCAGTCAAAACAGTCATTAACTGTTGGTCACTCTCCCTTTTTTGACTCCAGTAAAACTCCAGTCTTATCACCTAGTGGTGACTGTATGAGCTGTTGAAGAAAACAGTAGTTGAAGAAAGCATGCCTATTGATTGCCTCAGACTTTCTCACTAATGCATTGCTTATTCACGGCCTCTGTGGCATCACATAAATTAATAACGTCTCTCCAGCAGAGCCTCTTGTTTCGCTTAGAGGCCTTCTCTGTTTGGCCCGAGCAACTTTCTGTCCCAGAAATCTCACAAGGCTGTTGCTGATTTATCTGCTGATTTCTATACACAGACACACACAATTTTGAAAACAAAGACTATGAATTGCATATAGCTGGTCTTGACAATCGCTGCAGAGCTCATAAATATCCGACAAGGCCCAAAGGTTTGATCACAGTTTCACTCTAACTGCTTAATCTTGACACAATAGCAGGATTTAGTACAGATCTGGGGATTAGCTACTGTTTCACTCCCGGGGTTTGAGATATTATTGTAAAAAATCACTCTGCTAGATTCCAGTAAGACTCTGACACTGTATATGGACACTGACCAGACAGCCTTAAGTCTTTCAGTAACCTCTTTTTGTCATGCAGCCAGCGGAAAGCTAGTCAGAAGCAGGAAGCAACCTTCCAGCCACTCAAACAGCTGCCTTTGGATGAGAAAGCATGAGCACTGTGCAGCTGATCGTAAGGCATGTGAGCTGTTTTGTTTTTCTGTTTGCATGTACTGTATGTTAGTTTGCTGGAGGGACTCTAACTGCTGGGCTCCTTCTTTATGTAATGCCAATACCATCATTAAGACAGAGATAACGGTGCGCTTTTTATTAGTATTCATATAATAACATGTTTACTACACAATACAGGTCCTGTTGTGAAAATGCATGAATGACGGTGACACACAAAGTTCAGTAGGCCTGCTGACCCATGGGGAATAATGGATATGAATTACTGTATAGTCATCAAAGAGTCACATTTCCTTAGCACCATACTGTTCTGAATAGTCAAGGTTAAATTGGTCATACATATGCATTTCTGTATAATCCTAATGAGAATACTGAATGTCACAGGTGCCGGTCCCCAGGTTGCTGTTCTAAAGTCCTTGGCCTGCTTAGCTGTGATGAATTGGCTAGTTTCTTGCCTTAGTTAGTTCTGATGTGAATGGGTACTGGTTAAGTGGCTCTTAAACGGGAAACATGATTGGTCCCCTGTTTAAAACAACAGTTATTTATGACTTATGAGGTTGTGAAGTGCAGTGCTCTTCCTGCCTGTCTGTCCACAGCGGGTTTATTCTCACTGGAACACCTCATCCGATCCCCCTTGAAACGCAAGCCTGCTGACCACCGCACTACCGCACACCTGCACGCCTCATTCATAAACCATTACGAGATGACTAAAAGTGCACCTGCGCCTTTCACCTTTCTTTTTAACGTTGCACATGTTTGCTTTTCATTCATAAAAATAATACATTATCTGAATTTGTTCTTCCTCATCTCTGACACACCTGAGCACAAGTGGGACTCATAACAGATTATACTGCTGCACCAGAGTATCACCTGCATTCATGTTGTTTAATTTAATTTAATTTGAATCGCATGTCTCAAGTAGCACGGCGAGATTGATTTCACACCAACACATAATGGATTTAACATGCTTGTGTAGCTCTTAAAAATAGCTGCTATTAGATACAATTGGATGTTCTATATTTGCTTGGCAATGGCTGAACTGACCTGGAACGCCAAGTTTATTGTCACCATTTACCTGGTGATGTGCTCACTGAACCTGAAAAACAGATGAGGGCATACCAGCCAACAAACCTTTTATTTCTTCTTTTTAAAAGTTGTGTTTCTTGTGGTTGTTTGAATATAATCTTTATGGCACACGGTACTTGGCTACCCGTGTGCATGTACTCATCTCTAATAAAGGGTGTGATTGTAATTATTTGCAGCATGATAAATTAATAACAGCAGTTAAGTACCTGGGAGAGTGATGGAGGGAGAGCTGAGGGGCAGTGTGCAGCATGAGCTGTGGAGGAAAAGCAGGAGAGTGAACGGACTTGGCCTCATCTTGGCTATCACATTACACATGATACATCAGGATGCTGGCCTCTCTCTGTGGGCCCTATGGCTCTGCCTCTTCCACTCACTTACTCTTAAAGTGACACGCCTCTTTGTTGCACCAGGGCCAAGGTCTACTCGTGACACACTGTTTTTTGGGAGAGAGTTTGCCATATATGAGGACAGATATGAGTTACCAGAGGAGGGAAGCCTGGAAATGTATCCTTATTGAGTAAAGTAATCCTGCCGTGGAGGTGGGATTTTGTTGGACTTAACATAGTCAAGTTATTTGTTGTTGTTTGCATTCGGAGCTATTTTGACTTTAAATTAGGCTTGTAATTTGTTACAAAGAGTAAGCATGTTCCCATCCCGTAGGCACTTTCTTAATTCATTTTTGTTTATTTTTGTTGAACTTTCCAAAGTTCCGGGCATTTTATCCCGCTGTGTTCTGCTCTAGTTTATACGGTGTAGGTAAGCAACAAACCACGTTTTATTCTGCGCAGTGTAATAGCATGGGGAATATTATTAATATGAATTTAATGTGATAATAATATACACTGATTTCGCACTGCCGGCACACTACTTCCTCAGCAATTATCTAAAGTGGTATAACTTCTAAAAGCGCAGGAAAGCAAGTGCTGCATATTTCCGAAATAGCAAATTGAAAAGACTTCACACACACGGCTTTAATGTGTTTCATAGGCCCTCAAATCAGTGATGTGCATTAACCGGTTTGGCTGGCTATGCCATTTTGAGAGGGTAGTCAGGTGCCTGGAGCCAGGAAACAATGCTCTCCACTCTGTTTGTGTTGTGATGCTTTGTTATGGCTTTGTTCTGCTCTGTTTGTCCTCTCAGTCATTTGAAGAGTGTACCTCACTCACTGAGCTCTGAGAAATGCTCTCTCCCTCTATGTGACAGGTCTGCAGAGTATAGTTTCGACAACAGAACTACGCCACAGTATGATTTTATGATTTTTTTACTCAGCCAATATCATGCAGCCTGTTTCAATGCAATTTTATTTATCACAGTTTCCACAGGCATTCACTGCTCCAAATTTGTTTTTGCTTTAAATTTGTCACATTCTATAAGACAGTATTTTATTTGAATTCATGTCCCCAACCTTGTTAGAATGCAATCTTTGTTTTATTAAAGTAAAAGCGCTGCCTCCTGAGCTGCTACTTTCTCAAAGCATGAGCATAATGAAACCAAATATTCCCAGAAATGTTTTTTTTTTCTTTTCCTGATCACAGCATACAATCTTAGGGATAATAACACAGATGTCTGGGCAAGGAGAAGGGGCTTTACAACGGTATGAAAGCATGAAAGGCACCTGCTGGCTTGAGCCTGTTATTTTCCACTGTGATAGTAAATAAGCATTTCACCTGATGTCGTTTTGCTGAGCAGCTCCCAGAGTATGGCAGTCAGAGGTGCTGTGTTGTAGCGTGAATAGCAGAACAATATTGGTTACAAGGAAACACATTTATTGTGTTAATCCAGACTCAGTCTCCTTTCAAATAGTTTGTTTTTCTCTGCCTGTTTCTATGCGTATGTTTGACCTTGATTGTGTATATAATGAGTCTGTGTGTGTGTGTGTGTGCGGTGGTGTTAAATGGGTAGGCGTGGTCAGCAGAGATCAACTTTGGCTCAGAGTCTATGGTAACGCAGGACTGCAGATAGAGAGAGCTGGGTTGTGTGACTGTTGGGAACAGCAAATCTGAAGAGGCAGAGTACACAGAATAAGGGTAGCATGGCAATGGTTGAATGGGAGGTGTGCAGGTTAGTATGCATGTGACTGTATGCTTTCATTGCGATCAGTATATTTCCACTAGATATTTTTTGTTTCCTCAGGTTTTATTACAGTAATAGTTCAACCTTTTGAGAAATACACATACTGCATTCATTTTTCCCAAGATGGAAGATTGATGTCACTGTGTTAGGTGAGTTAGATGTGTAGCTAGAGCCAGGAGGCAATTATCCTAGCTCAGCATAAAGGCTGGAAAGAGGTGCAAACAGCAAGCCTGGCTCCTGTTATCATTATTTAACCAGCAAGTTCAGTGTATTTTTAAACTTTTTCAGAGTCAGTCAGGTTTCCTCCTGCTTCCATGCTATGCTAGGCTAACTACCACCTAGCTGAAACTCCATACCTAACACACAGACATAAGAGTTGTATCAATCTTCTTACTCATCAAGAGAAAGCAAATAAGTGGATTTTCCAAAATGTTGAACTATTCCTTTGACACATGTGTTAATGATTGATTGGATTGTGATGAAGCAGCTCTTAAACATGCTATTCATGTCTCTGCTCTTTCTTATGTGTTAGCAGACTCAGAGGCCTTCAGTTGTCGGGGAGATATCACACCGCAGAAGAAGCAGAAAAGATTTTATCAAGAAGATCAAGCAAAACAGGCCAAATATCGAACTGAGGTGGATGGTTGCAGGAGCCAAGCAAGGGCAACGTACCACAAGAGCCATGTGGGAGGAGAGTGAGGGAGTTTTGCTATTTGCACGCATCATGCCCAAACACTCTCTCTACTGACAAAGCTGAACGTTCCCCAGCCTTCCTCCAGAGCTTTTCCTCAGGGGGAGCCCCTGCTATGAACCCCAGCTTCCTTGGCTTCAGCAGGCAGTCCAACCTCAGAGCCAGGCGCTGTGTGGGCATCCCACAAGTCTGGGTTCTGCCCACACAGGACTCACAGACTGCCCCTGAACAAAAAGAATGAAATACTCCTGAGTCACTCCTCTGTGTGGTGGCTCTCCTGTCTAGTGTTAAATTGGTCTGTTGTGAAGTTTTGTCTGCCTCTTCCCCAGCAAGTTTCTACCTTCAGTGAAAACCCTCTCCAACTCCTCCACCGAGTCCTTTTCGGTCACCACTTCGTTTTAATTTGCTTCCCCATCAAACAGCAGCACGAGTTCCTTTTTGCTCACCACGTGGTGGAGGACCATGGGATGCCGTCAGAGCTCGGAGGAGAAGGAAGCGGCGCGGCGCTCTCGACGAATCGACCGCCACCTGCGGTCGGAGAGCCAGCGGCAGCGGCGTGAAATCAAGCTACTGTTGCTGGGCACCAGCAACTCGGGCAAGAGCACCATAGTCAAACAGATGAAGATCATCCACAGTGGAGGCTTCAACCTGGACGCCTGCAAGGAGTACAAGCCCCTCATCCTGTACAATGCCATTGACTCCCTCACCCGCATCATCCGTGCCCTCACCACCCTCAAGATTGACTTTCACAATCCTGATCGCGCCTACGACGCTGTGCAGCTCTTTGCCCTCACAGGGCCAGCTGAGAGCAAGGGGGAGATCACTCCAGAGTTACAAGGGGTCATGAAACGTCTGTGGGCTGACTCAGGGGTCCAGGAGTGCTTCCAACGATCCAATGAGTACCACTTAGAGGACAACACTGCCTACTACCTGAATGACCTGGACCGCATCTCTGCAGCTGAATACATCCCTACTGTAGAGGACATCCTGCGATCCCGCGACATGACCACTGGCATTGTGGAGAACAAGTTCACCTTCAAGGAGCTCACCTTCAAGATGGTAGATGTGGGTGGACAACGCTCGGAGAGAAAGAAGTGGATCCACTGCTTCGAGGGTGTGACTGCAATCATTTTCTGTGTCGAGCTAAGTGGCTATGACCTCAAACTCTACGAGGACAACCAGACGGTAAGAAACAATTCATAGTAAATGTATGCATATGCACACAGGTATGCTGCTTGCACACAGCTTATGTTATCTCTTATGTTATCTTAAATTTGTACAGCATTCGTGAGAAGAATTAGAAGATTGGATCATTTAAATAGTGAGAGTATAGTTCTTATGTGAGACAGATAATACTTAACTGATCATCTGATTTACTGCAGTAATACCAACAATGTTAGTATATAAGTTCTAGTCCACGCAATTACTCTAAATGATCAACTGTTAGTTGCATAAGTATAATAAAGGCAAAATACTGTGAGGTGTCACCAAATAACCTAATTGTGTTTAACCCTTCTGAGAAACAAAATGAACACAAGCCTCTTCTGCACTGTCATTTCCTCTCTGTACATCCCCGTCATCTTCAACATAACCTTGCTGTGGTTACAGATACAGGGATTACATTTTTGTTTTGCTTCCGTCATACACATATTATTTGCATAGCCTATTTCTTCTAAGATAGTGGCTATTCTAAATGTATTAAGGGTACTTCCGGAGTTACTGCAAACTGTGTTGTTTGCAGGAAAGAGTTTGAAAGGTGAATTTCAGTTGCAAAAATAAGGAGTTTAAAATACAATTGTTTTCTCATCATTTCATTTTAGTAGCTTAAGTACATAATGTCTGCTTTTTCCATTTTAAATTACTTATGTTTACTCTGGTGGAGACAAATGCACAATCTTTATCTCACTGAAAGATCCTTAAACCACCAAAGTGCTTATCATTTAAAATACAGAAACAGACCGGCCTAAACAAACATGCAGAGTGTGTTCATTTCAGTCAGTGGACTGTTTAGTGGACCTTGAATTGAACACGTCTAGAAGTATAGTAGTATTTCAATCTATGCGAACATAAAATGTACAAACGTAGGGCTAGTGGTCTGTGGGGAAGAAGCCTGGTTTAGAGAGCCTATAAACTACAGTACCCTTTTTTTGAAAGATATTCATTATGGCCTATACTAACTGTTGATTGGATATGTTTTACTAATGTGCTCAGCTACTCTACCAACCACATTTTTCTTATTTGTATTGTTACAGGCAAAAGTTTTAAGACATAATTGCAGAAGTTACTTCCTAATATCCCCACACGGCACCAGGAATACTGTACTTTTCATCCTTTTATTCTCATCCTAAATAATGTTACTACATGATATCATTTCTCTCAAGTTTATTCAATTTGTATAATAAGCAGTTTGGAAAGCCTTAACTAAGTTTTATGGTCCATATTCAAATTTTTTTTGGCTGGGGGCAAGAGTGGACCGATTTTGTAGAATTGGGTGAAATGCAGTCACGCTGCCTTAATATGAGAGCAAAGCTGTTTTAAATCTGTCAGAGTGAAGAGAGTGGCCCGTGTAAGTTATCTTCTATTCCTGGCAGTGGAATTTCAACAATTTGCTATCCATAGCATATCCATCTTCTTATCTGAGTGTTTTGGAATAGTTGGGTAGTTATTGCTTGTTTAACTGCCCATTTGATAATGGAAGGTCAACAATAGATACTATTCTACTTTTTAGTCTAGACCAACTATGAGGGGTCAGTTATTCTCTTTCTTCGCAGGCATGATCACATTTCTTTCCTAAAGAGTTTCCACTATCCATGTTCACCTTGATGTCTTTATATAGTCTCTGCAAGAAATAACTTGAGCACAGAGGAAACTTTGTCGTTCCTGTAACTGAACTGGCCTGATAATTCATAGGTTACCCGGATAAAACAGGGTGTACACTGCGCCAGGTTGGAACATGAAATCAATTAATTTTATAGGTTAAAAATAAAGTCTGAGGAGAAAAATGCAGTATGGTGTTAATTGAGTTCACAGAATAAAGTGTGGGGCTGTACCTGTGAGAATTAGCAGATTGTGAAGGCACTGTGTAGCAATGGGAGTTCACAGGTGCTGGAAAAAACAACTTTTATTATTCCGAGATAGGAGCGGAAGACGAAAGCAATGGATCCAAACCACCAGAAGGAAAGCCACCCTGAAATTAGAGCATCCATCCTGCTGCTGAGCCTACTGGGATGAATAAGATTGCTGCAAATACTGACATTTTCATGGATGTTTTTTGGGTGAATTATTGACTGCTTTTACAGTTTTATGTGTTTTAATACATGACGCTAAGCTTAAGATCTGTTTGAACACACCAAAAGGGTTTCTTCAGTTGACGGTAAACTTGCAATTTAAAAGTAGTAACATTAATGTTGGCTACGATTTTCAGAGGCTAGACTGAACCACTGTTGCTGTATGTTGTTGCTGCTGCTGGTGTGTAACACACGCATAGTGTTATTTTTCATTATAAGATTGATATTATTCACATGTAGCCATACTCTACTTTCCTGAATAACTGTCCATGCATTTTCTAGGGCCTTATCCCAGCATGCACTCAGTGAGAGTGCATGCTGGGACAGGTTGCCATTCTATCACGTATCCCTGCTCAGAGCCAACCACTGCAACTATAATGTGAGACAAAAAACAAAGCAAAAAGCCTTCAATTGCATGTTGCCTGGAGTTAAAAATGCTGAAATCTGTAAAAATATTGTACTAAAAACAATTGATGGCGATAACACATAAACCAAAATTGAATATTCATGACCTTCAGGACATTAAAACAAACCTGTCATTAATTGAACTAATTAATTGAACTGTCTCATTGATCAGGCCATGAGTGCAGGAAAAATGTACATTTTGTAGTGCTTCTTAATAGTAGACTATAGCTTATATAATTAGCAGTGTAATGACACCGTAGGTGGTCTTATAACAGTGTCTTAACACCTCTTCACCATTTGTCATTGTTCATATTGTACTAAAAGTATGATTATAATTATATAGGTATTTTCTGGATGAATAAAACATACATATGGCAGAAATGTGTAGACGTTTATTAACGTTATGACCTACAGAGATGATCTCCTCACACATATTTTAAAGTGAATATCACATTATGCATGGGGCGCATACTTAGATCACACCACAACAATGCTAAATACAATTTATCAATCTGAGCCTGTCATTGACAAAATACTCATAGAGTGACATGGAGACACTTCACTTGCTGTCATTTGTGGTATAATGTAGGCTAAACATTTATACAAATTTGAAAGAGAGGCTGTACTAGCATACAAATCACATAATGCCGGCCATACAGGACATCAGGCCACACCCTCATAAATCTACAGGACATCAGGCCAGACAGCATAATGCAGCAGCAAATCTAAATGTCACATTGACTGTATACCTAATCTAAATGTTACTGGATTGAGGTACGTCGCTGTGGTTCCTGCGACATCGTACTGAAGGCTCCACAGTTAATTCCTGCATCTTGGAGCCGCTCACTTCCACAACCACTGTCAGCTGACACAACACTGCTGAACAGCTGTTACCTAACACATAGTGTAGCCTCTACATGCTCAATACGTCCGCAATGTGAGAAAGAGAAGAGTGTTTGTAACTGTGTACTCTATGTGTCTCTGGTTAAGAACTGTATATGGTATACCAGCTGATAGGGAATATAACCGCAGTGAAACACAATTTCGTTTACGTTAAGTTGGGTTAAGCATCAGTTATGATTAAGTTTAGACGACTCCATGGAATGAAGGTCAGTACAATGTGATGGTAAAGGACGGGATCATTAAGTTGACGTGATTCAGGTGCAAAAGATGAATTATACTGACGAGATACTGTACAATAACAGCAGATATTATTATATATTACAAAATGTTAACCCTTAGAATAAACAAACTTAATATCTGGAACAAATGTCACAAGTTACAGTTTGTTAGGCAGAAAACATGCTTACATACCCAGCACATTTCAATTTACCAGAAAACAGATACTGACAATTGAGCTTCTGGTAAACAGCAGAATATTAGGCGGACTGATCTCAGGGGATATGTAGACATATTTCTAAAAAAATGTTTTTCCATCTGTTTGCTCGGCTTGTTCAAAAAGGAGATGGCTGTGCAAACTCAACTGATTTTCAGATAAAGAACAAACCATTCACCACATCCTTACCGTAACCTTCTGCATTTTGGGTAACCTTACTTGAACTAGTCTGAAGTAAAATGATTTGGCAGATACTTAACATTTGTTAGGTTTTACAATACACCTAATGTCGAATACGTTTGTATTAAAGCTCTTGCACATATTGAGGTTTAATTAATTATAATCAATGTGTTACTGTTATTCCAAATCATGCTTTGTTAAGGGGAGCTGCCATTGTTAGTTTCCCTCCAGTATCAGTAATATTTACTCTTTTGACATGGACCTGCCAGCAAACATATCTATTACCTTCTTTACCTTAGCACTAACACAACTGAGTCAATGAGTACAATTCATTCTGTCATATACTTTCTAGACCAGTGGTGACTCATCATTTTTTAGTTCAAGTGCTACAGCTGAATCTTCTATTTCATAGTCTACGTTGCAAGCACTGAAAATTTGTGAACAATAGTAGCATGATCCTTTGTTGATGAGCAGGTTTGAGTAGAAGCTCCATGAATTATGTCTTATCTAATGGAAAACAACACAACAGGACTGACTATGGAGCTTGAATGACACGGCTAAAACTGGTAAAGCTCGATGTTTGTTGAAGAATTCGGTCGTTCATACGACTCACTACGAATTTCGAGGCAGTCATCAGTTTTTATGTGTACGTATGATGATCACTGATTAATGACTCAGTCCATACGTATAAGAAAGTGTTTCAGCTGCTTCAAAGGTCCTCATTAGAGGAAAAGGTGTTGTTTTTATATTGATGTCTTGTTGTATCCAGTGATCATCATAGTGATCTTAACCTTCAAAGCTATATGCAATGTCAGACAACAGAAAACAAACTTCATCAGACCAGACTCACACGGTTCAGTTTCAATGCACCAGCTCACACACGACAGAATAATTACAGTACAGCATTTGCCCATCAACCCATTCCCTGATGCATTTTCCCTGTCCCATCCCTGTCTTCATAATGAATCGGTTGCCATGGTTACTGTTGCTTAGCAACAGGCCAGTCAAATGCTCCTAATCCTGCGCTGTTGACAGTGAGCTGTGACTAGGGAAGGGAGGATGAGAAGGGGAGAGGAGGGTGAGAGGAGGGGAGGGGGGAACAAACAGCAGCGCTGGAGAGAATAGATATGAGGTGTTTATGTGCACACATGTATTGTGTGCCTGCGTGAGTGTTTGCGTGTGCGTTATTATGAATGTGCAGTGCAGGTTTATATGCAAGGGCTGAGGCTGAGCAACTGCAGCAAATTCTGTGTGTATGTGAGATGAAAATGAAAAGCCTAGATGTGAGGTGAGCGGCTGTTTAAGCTTGTGTTAGCCAAACATCAAGGCAGACACGGACTGCAGTGTCAGCTCTATTTCTATTGTTTCAATTATTATTTTTATTAACCTCTCAAACAAGATTTATTACCTGTGACATGAAAAAAGACGGGGAAATTAATTACTGGTTTTTCGTGTTTTTATGTCAAGGTTTGTCATGTGCACTTCTCCTTTCAAGCCACAGCAAAGACGACGTATGAACTGATCTGAATGTGAAATGACAGTTTCACTGATCAGTGGCTTTAAATCACACCGAGCATCCCTTCAGAAGCACAGAGGCAGGTGTCAGAACGGTGCCTCAAAATGTACTCAGAAATATTCTCCCTCAACTCAGCTACAGCATCTTAACCGCCTAATGGGTTATCAAAGGCTTTACTATCATGTAATTGAATTGCTTCATGTGACATAATGGCGTTTTGAAAAAGAGCTTTCCAAGAAACAGAATGAGATTGTTCAAAGACACACCAAGTGAGAAAATCATGTCATGTTTGTTAGGGTTTTTTTTGCCGATATTTTCTTTTCCAGATTCTACATTGTGTACTTACAGTAGGTTTCAATGTATCCTCTATACTATCCAACTATTGCATTACTTAACTGCTATAGCAAACTCTAATTTCTTGCATGTTACCAGATTCAGTTTTACCTTAAATATTATTGAAATGCTCTACAATGACAGTCTGAAGGTTCGGTCCTACACACAACTATCCATGTTACATGTAGCATTAAGGTAGCCCCATACTAGCCTCGCCTTACAGAGCAAAGCTTTTATTTGTCGTCATTTTAGCTTTGCCTTATAGTGGACACAGAAACTGATACTGTATTATCCACATCAAACTCTTCCACATTACAAAAGAATACAGATTCAGCAAATGAGCAAACTTCAAAGGACATTTTTTTTTACTCATTTAGCTGAGACTCAAAAATGCTATTTTGCAGAAAATATAGCGCAGGAATAATATGTACAATTGTGTTTATGTTTGTTTGTGTGTTTCTTTTCAAATCTAACCCCAGCAGTGTTGCTGCCCACAACAACAGAGACATTAGTAATTAAACAGAGAGGGATAAGAGAAAGGGAGAAGCCTGAATAATGCAATTTTCAGGTACGGTAGAAAAAACATGGTGACAGAGAAAATCATCTCGGTAGATAAGTGCAAAGCAACCCCTTCTTGTGAGGCAGTGACATTTAAAATGAACCTTAATGAATTACGAAGGGGTGGCTGCACACTTAAGTGATTTGTATTTATGGGAAACAAAGCAATGACACAGGGATGAACTTCCTCATTAATACTTAAGCTTAATTAAGGCCTGCGCCTCTGGACTATTCTGACAGGAGGCAGCGAGGGGGAAAACAGTGTATGCGTGTGTGTGTGTGTGTGTGTGTGTGTGTGTGTGTGTGTGTGTGTGTGTGCGTGTGTGTGCGCATCTGTGAATCAGTTTGAAGCGAAGGAAGGGGGTCTGCATGCTTTAGTGCTCCTGGATGTTGCTCTCCCCCCTCCTCCCGCTCCCCATTAAGAAACTCTTACTGTACGAGCGCTGTTGTGGCCAGGTGAAGAGACTGGAGACTCCCTGGGCTCAGCTGGCTGTCTCCTGCCATACTCTCTTAGCAGCTGGGCTCTTGTTTTGACACCCTGCAAAGAGGAGGAGTGAGGTCAAACAGACAGAATTTGTGTAGTGTACAATGTTTAGGGGCCAGTCTTTGTCCCCGCGGGGACACATACTTATACAGAAAGGAGAGCTTATGTTTCAATCTGGTCGGATAACAACATGTGAGAGAACAGGAGCAGAGAGGAAGACATGGGAGAAGAATGAGCAGTTTTAACCCTTCAGTGCAGAACTGGGGTTTAACAGATTCTGCAGACACACTCTTATGCAATATGGGTTGAATATAAGCCTAATTCTTATTCCCTTCCTTGTGTCATTTTAGTTTAAACAATTAGCTCATTTATTAGTTTGATAAACAGTGTTTTGGGATATTTTCTTTTTATAGTATCCAGTGGCTAGTTCGCAGTACTTGTGGCTCAACAGACATCAATTTCTCTGTTTTTGAAAACCTTTGTCCTCTCAGCATTTTTCCTCCAGGGATGTTTTTATTATGAGCTACTCACTCAAATTTAACACACAGCTGAGAAAGAGTATTATGTATTATTGTATATTAAGGTCCCAATATTTGAAATTAAAATTTTCCAATAATACTTTATTATTGGACTACATATAAAGGTTGCATGCAACTTTCTTTTCTCACAACTGTAGCCTTTTCATCATTATCCAAAAATAGTGCACTTACGCCACTGATTAATCAGGGTTTACTTTGAATCTGCACTACGATTGTCTAATCCTTTGCTATTCCCCTGAATATCTTTTTTCATTCTGTGCAGATCTTGTGATTTGCTCAGAGCATCACGTTGTTTCTGTAACCTTTTAAACAGCAGTCTTCCATCTGACAACCTCCCAGTCACAAGCTACTGGCCAGTCGCCACATGCCAGGCATGAACAGATCAACTTTCTTTTTCTTTCTTTTCTCTTATACATTCAATGTCACATGAGCACAAACTGTATGGAAGCACATGGATGCATACATGCACATACACATGTATACACAGTTTTCATGAAGACGTTTTTCTTCTGTACCAAAAAACAGCATATTCCACCATTCTGCAAATTAAATTTCCATTTAAAATAATCAATTTTGAAGTTTCCTGTCCTGTGTGTAGTGGAATCGAATGAAAAAACAAAACAACTAAATGATAAACAAGTTATATAACATAAAAGGTCCTGTTTCTTCTTTTTTTTTTTTCGTTTTTTGTAACTTGTGACTAATTTATCAGTTGCACATGGCAGATATCAGTAATTACATTATACATTTGTAAAATAAATCATAGATTTGTACGTAATTTTAAAATTTCATTAATTCATTTATTTCCTCCTACGGGAAATAAATGATAATGCAGCAACATTTAGAATACCTCTATTTAATCATATTTATTTACCAAGTCAAAGGTTGAAGAAGAAAAACAATATCACAGAGCCAGACCAGTTATGGTGCACTGGTTAGAGCAGTCTGTCCTCAGTGTGAATGTATGTCCCCGACACCATGTGATCCATTCACATTTTCATAACAACAATTATTGCAATATTTACAACTATTCTTCAGAAAAGTGAAACGTTGGGCACTGAGTGATCATTATACAGTTTTGTATTTAGAGAACGGTAGTGGTGGTTAAAGAAGTAATCAGCTGTTTCAGAGGAGAATGTGAGAGTTCAAACTCAGGTCTTCATCTGTCTGAGTCTCAAATCTCTGTTGGCATAACAGAAACGCCGTACCTTTTGGCTAGTCAAGTGGATATCTGTGACTTGTGCTGGATTTTAGATCTCCTCTTCTCTCGTCTTTATTTTCATCTTCAAATTTTGCCGTGACCTTACATGGCCTAATTTTCTCTCTTGGGTTTTCCCAGATCACATGATCCTGCTTGTGTGAATGAGGTCTGATTGTGTGATGAATTGGGCTGATTTGGGTTGTTGCTTCAAAGCAAATACTACATTTTTCTTAGCTGTGAAATCATTTCCTCATGGTCTGATCTTCTTTTTCATTTCCTTTCTCTCTCCACAACCACACAGAGCCGCATGGCCGAGAGCTTGCGCCTGTTTGACTCCATCTGCAACAACAACTGGTTCACCAACACGTCACTCATCCTCTTCCTCAACAAGAAGGACCTGTTGGCTGAGAAGATCAAACGCATTCCTCTGACAGTGTGCTTCCCTGACTACAAAGGTCAGAACACCTATGAGGAGGCAGCTGTCTATGTGCAACGGCAGTTTGAGGACCTCAACCGCAACAAGGAGACCAAGGAGATCTATTCGCACTTCACCTGTGCCACTGACACCAGCAACATCCAGTTTGTGTTCGACGCTGTCACGGACGTGATCATCCAGAACAATCTCAAGTACATTGGGCTGTGCTAGGACCTGAGGCTGGATGGGTGGGAGGTGTGTGGGGTGGGCTGGGGAGGGAGAGGGAGAGGGGGGGCAAAGCGGGCAGCAGTTGGCCCGCCATCAGGCTGGATAAACAAAAGGCATGTCAGTCTGCCTGATGGTTTATCTCTTTGAAGAGGTGCAACAGAGAACTGCAAATGAAATGAGGTAGTAAGAAACAACGGAGCTGGTGGGCCACAGTCAAGATGGGATTTTTACCCAACGTGTTTGCACTGAATATGAGTATGCAGAGACACCCAAACACACGCATACACACACACACACACACACACACACACACACACACACACACACACACACACACACATGCACACACACACACACCCACACAAACACACACCGACACACATCCTTATGTTTGTTCACACACAAGATCCTTGGATCGACAGTCAAGCACTTGTTTGACAAGGCAACACTGGAAATTTTAGACAGTTACCCCTACCTGCCTGCCAAACCTGAGGTAGTAGGTCTGTACTGGTGGTTTTCGGTTACGTTTGTCTACTGTATTTTATTTGCCAGAGTCAATTAATGCTGCTTTACAAGAAGAGTTTTGACAAAATCAATGTTCTCTTTTGGATTTTCACCCTAACAACGATAACCAGTGAGTGCACCTGACGTGGGGAGAGCCTGTATTTCTGAGAAAAAATAAATAAATGTCAGTAGACATGATGTCACAGGGTTTCTGCCTAAAAGAGGAAACTGCCACAGTGTAAAGCTGAAGTGAAATAAGTTTTCTACACACTATTTCTGTTTTGCCCCTTGGTCGAATATCTAATGTTGTTCTTTTCCCCCTCTTTCTTTTATCTTTTGTGCTTTAAAAAAAAAAAAAGAATATGTCTCTCAAACCTGCCTTTTATAGCAGGTCACTGACTTATAATACCAGGAGAGTGTTATGCTCCATAGAGTCAAAAGTATTCTTTATGATCATTCCAGTTTCCAGCAAGAGACAACAAAAACAGTGCCAAGATCAATTTGTAAATAAAACCAGATCCCATCCATTATGTTATTTTTTGTTTTGTTTTGTTTTTATGGACAAATACATTAAAACATGCATGGTTTTGTTACTTTGGGATACTAATATATTTTCTTTGGGATTATGTTCTTCTTTTCTTAGGTTTAAATAATATATTCCCAAAAATATATATAAAAGTCAAACACTGTGTACGATTGTACAGTTGTCAGAGAGGAATTTATTGAAAAGAGTTATATCAATATAATAATTGATGATGATGAAAACGATGACGATAATGATGATAGTGGTGACGATGATTACAAAGATGACGAGGAAAATCTCACTACAAAGTTAGCATGAGAGGTTAAAGTGGATCAAAGGAGAACAAGACTGTAGAAAAAAAATGAAGAAGCAAACCTTGAAAGTTCAATCTTCCTTGCATTATCTAAGTGGAAATTGTTAAACAGCCAGTCAGTATGATGTGTAAATATACTGTAAGGTACACTCTTTGTTCAAACAAATGAAAATAAAGGTTGAGTTGGGTTACTGTGAGTGAGATGAAGAGAGAGCGAGAGAAAGAGAAGGAGGAAAACCCCACTCCACTCCTCCTCTTACCCTTTCTTTTCAGTTCAGAGTGTGATGTGCAAACGACTCAGCTAAGGGCTTCAGGCTTGACTTTACAGGATGTCCACCTCAACAAAAGACAAAACAATTAAAAAAAAGAAATATAAAAAGGACAATAACTATGAATAAAACAACTTATGCAAATTTTCATGGTGTAGTAAATGTGTTTTTGGGTGGTGGTTGTGTCAAAAGTGCTTTAAATGTGTTTGGGATGGGAATTTTCCTAGATGATGGACCTCCATGCCTCCAGTCTTTCATAATTATGCTGCACCAAATGATTTGTGACGTGGAATAGAACATACTGTCCAAAACCCTTGTTTCCATCCTCAGTGTCCAAAATCATGGCATAAAAAGTGTTTGTCCTCGCCATACAATGTAGCCGCTGGGGCAAGAATAATTCGGACATAAAGTATGCAATTAAATTACTCCTGAATGAACTTGGCCTATGTGTGATGGGGTGACAGCGTACAGTGCCGTACAGATTCCACTCTAATTACTGTATAAACCCCAGCTGACCCCAAGTGTCTGCTGATGGGTCTGTCCCCAAATAAATATACCTTCTGTTTAGCAATTTCTAGTCTTTAAAGAGTTAAATATTGCAATGTGATTTAATTCAATGCAATATTTATGCAGTGAGGCTTTGGCAAACCTGAACCAACGCCTATAAACTGAGGAACTGTTAATTGTTACACTCAATATGTGTCCTCTGAAAGACATTTAGGCAAGAAATGACACAATAGTTGTGAGGAAACCTGTAGGAGGATGTTTCTACCACGCAGGCCATCCTGTTACCTTCCTTTTAACGCTCATGTGGTATGAATATTTTTTTGAGTTTAAACATTATTTAAATATTGATAATGCTTTCAGTTCGTCAGACTGGGGGCCATACATAAAACATTACAGTACTGTGTGGCTGATGGTTTTTAACATGATTTTTTTATTAATATTTTACTTATTTTAGCTCGATTTACATCACTGTGTGAAAAATGTCTTCAGGTCATGGGTGTATTCTTTTGTGGATTGATTTAAGCAACAGTGGGAATTTGTTTGAGAGATGAACATAAATAAAATCCACTGCTGAGAAGGGAGAGTTCTGCTGAAATCATGCCTTGTGACTGTCATGTGGTAGGAGATGGTGCCAACCATAAAAATGACTGAGTTACAGAATGGAAGAGTAGCTGATAAAAAAAAGTCAAAGGAGGTATAGAAATGTTCTTTATCTATTTATTCAATTGAATCAGGAAGTAACTTGTAGTGACATTTTAAGTAGAAATGGTATACTGGTGGGGGCGTGGGGTTTTTCTCAGGAAGGTTTCATCATAAGGTGGTGCTAAGCAGCTGATGTTGAAATAATTAAAAAATGGAACTTTAACCGTTCAGTCTTAATATTCAGTATTAGAATTGTTGTACAAAATCATAGAAAGAAACAGAGAGTGCCTCACCTTGATATAATCTACACTGAGCACACAGTATTCAAATGTGCACGACTGGAATACCATTAAACCCTGTGAAGCAGCTGGACTGCGCTAGAATCCAACTCGCCAGGTACAGTGGTATTGTTAGGGTTGGGTATCGAACTCTGTCGTTTTAGGGGTACCGAATTACGCTCAATCAATCAGTGCCAAATTCTGCTACCTGAGAGTGCATCTGGGTAAGAGAGTAAATTAGAGTAGAGAGACAAAGAGAGAATGAGAGTAAGGTTATGTCGCCCCTGCAGCTTTTTCCAGTCACAGTGAGTCAGGGATCGCAGACTTTATGATGCAAAATGCAAAGCTGGCCAGAAGAACATGTCTAAATGGAGGATATAACCGGTCAAACATAAAATATATCCAAAAGCTGAAGAGAAGGTTCTGTGTAACAAACCATCTGCCGCAGTCAGGTTATTTAATTGTGGCTTGTGGCTAAAGGCAATTATAAATGCTAAGAAGTTTGTATACTTGACACTGATCTGCAGACAAATTGACAACATTTTCACTGAGAAGATTTGCATGCATAGTAGGGGTAAAAAAAAAAAAAAAAGCAAAAGTTCAACATATACTACTGTAACAGATACAGTAAAATGATCAATAATGTATATTTTATTATAAGATATAATATGTTTCATACTGAATTATGCAGTGTGTCCTGATATGCAATCCAGGTGCCAGGATTGTGCCATGTTCATTAACAGGTTAAGAATCAGTAAATCAGGAGCTGGTTTGTAAATTTGGATTGGTCTATCTTAAATCTTTATCCAAGTTCATTTACAGCAATATCTCTGAAAGGTTGCCATAACATTTAGGACCCCTACTTCTGTCTTTACTTTTATATTTTGGAACTGTCAAAAGAGCTTTGTCCATAGATGTAAGATTTAAACTGGGGCCATGCCAAACTCAGATTTGTCATCAGCATTGAGACATCCAATATCTAATAAGGAAAAGGGATTGAGGGAATTTCTAAAAATGTAAGTAGTTCACAAACAACCATGGGCACAAATATAAATTCTTGGCCCAATGATGACAGTTCTGAAACAATAAATATCTATAATCCCTGGCATGTTCCACGGCCATGTCTATTTCTAGGCCTCCTGAATCATTCAGACGTTTTTTTAAGAAGAAAAAAAAAGAGAATAGAAGAAGGCCCTTGCCACTAGCCTCTCTTGACCCTTTCCGTGTTGTTGACCAGTGCTTATTTCCCTCTCCACTCCCCTCTATAAGATCTCTTCTAACTGGTTGTCTTCACATCACCACTATCTTTTTCTCTGCTTCCGTCTGTCCTCAGCTCCCCTCTCTTTACTCCCTCCAGATGACTCCTTCCTGTGTCTCCTCAGCGACCTCAACATTTATACCTGCCCTCTTATCCCCTCTGGCCCTTCTCCCCTTTCCTCTAAGCTTGTCTATCTGCTCCCACCTGCTCCTTGGCTGCAAACCAGCTGGTGAAACAAATGGACAAGCCTTCAGGCAGCTGGGAGAAAATTCCTTAAGTCTGGCTTTCTCTGAGGAGTTTTAGTATCTCATCTCCTCTTTCTCTACTGGCAAATTTACGACTTCCAGTCTCCTGCTTCTGACCCACAGAAGCTCTTCGCTATCCTCTCCTCTCCTCTCGTCTCAGCGCTCCTCCTCCTCCTCCCTCCACGGAGATGGTGATGACAGCAGAGGCTCATCTTCCAGGCTACCCTCTGGTCACTGTCTCCTCCTCTGACCCCTCTAACATGAGCTTAATCTCTCCCTCAACCCATCCTTAATGAAGTCCTAAAAAGATTCCCATGAGCAGACTTAACTTCTGCCCTCTTGAACCCTTCTCCCCCTCTTGAACCCTTCTCCCCCTCCCGGACCATCGCCGCTGATCTGCTCTACTTCCTGACTGATATCATCAACCCTTCCCTGACATCTGGCTGTGAACCATCTGTCTTTGAGTCAGATAGAGCCCCTGCTCTTGTCTCGAAACCTTCTCTTGACCCGTCTGACATCCATTAGACACTGCTGTCAAGCCTTTCTTCAGCACTCCTTGGTAATTGCTGTGTGTAGTTTTATCCATACAGAAACTGGACTTGTATCTAATGCAGCCATTGTTAGTCCGATGAAAGACTAAAAATTAAATACTGCCAAATATTGAATTATTTTTATTGAAATTATGTTAATTTCTTACTGTGAGAGTCCAGATTAATTACCTTTTTTAAGGTAAGCTATAAAAGCCTGTGACATACAGCCAATAAGCTGTTCACAACAGAATTACCATCACATGCCTCTGAAGTGTAATCAATATTATAACGGCAATTTAGGAGCAATATGAGAAATGTTTTATTTCATTTGCTAAATATAAGTAAATTAATAAGAATTAACTATTTTAAACCTTATACTGTAACATTTCTCTGAAAATTACAAGACTAAAAGTCTACAGCCACGCTCAGCAGCTCTGTGAGCACAGTGCTGCTTTGAGCTAAATGCTAACATCAGCATGCTAATATGCTCACAGTGACAATGCTAACATACTGATGGGGCTAGAGCTGTGGCTGATGGTAATGTCATTAGTTTTGCAGGTATTATTCATAAACTAAATAATCGGACCAATTAAAGATTTGACCCAGTGATGACACTAGATGAAAAGTCTAAAGTCTGGACCAGTGCTGACTGTCGGGCCAACCAACAGACAGACTGACAAACAGATCATTGTGCCGCTAGCGTGGCTAACAACATATCAGACAAACCACAGGACGCATCTGATCTGTTGTGGATGAACAGCTAACATGGCCACATGGATTTAATATGAAAGGCAACTGTTGCCTGCCGCTTTATGCGTACATAAATGTTGCAATCCCAGAAATATGTGTTGTGCTGAAATAATTTCTTTTTCATCCACAGCCAACTCAAGCCAACTCAAGGCTCTGTTGTAGTTTTGTTAGCCCTCCTCTTGTGCCAGCCGGATATGCCAGGAGACTGTGGGCCCCGCAGACGGACTGGCAAGTGGACCCTCTACAGCAGTGATGCTTAACTTAAGGCTTTTCTTATTCAAAATGAAAATAAATTGATTCACTGTGGGAATTGTTTTGGTTTGCTTGTTTATACAAATTAGTAAATGTTCAATAAAATCCCTTGGATGTTCCCAAGGAAGTTGCATATTAGCTTTCTATGCAGTGTGCCGAAAGCGGTGCCACCTGATATTCACTCTTGGCAAAGATTGTGTGAGGACAGAAAACGTCAAAAAGGTTGACAATGAAAATGGGAAATTCTATGAAAAGTGATTATTCGTCTTTATTTATTTACATATAACTATATCTATATAAATTTATTTTGCCTCATACCAATCCTAAACCACTGTGTTAAACCTGCCAAATGACAATTGCTGTATTCAAGGCTGCTAATGTCAGGCACCATCCACCGTCTGGTAGGACCACAAGAAAAGTCGTCTCATTCTGCCACATCAATTAACCTCATGTTTATTCATTTTATCTGATAAATATTATTGTTTATTAGTTGGCCCCTGGCCCCAAAAGAGGCCCCTTGGGCAGAAAAAGTTGAGCACCTCTTCATCTATGGGTACATAAACTGAGCATAACCTCTGTCTTTAGCACCTCTCTGTTAAGTCTTCATAAATGGCTCCTGTTCTCTTATGGTTGAGTCAGCTCAAGACTAAACCTTCCATAAACAGCAGAACAATGTCTGGCCTTACAAGGTAACTGTATTTGTTGTGCTGCTATGAGACCAAACCAGCACTCTCTGCTGTAGCCTGGATGTAATAAAAAAAGAGAAAGTGGGCCTACCTTACCAGGCCTTTGGTGATTCCTAAACCCCTTGATCAAGTCCATCTCATGGTGCTTTTGGGCATCAGATAAGATGTGTGCTAACATTCCTCTGCTGAAGCAAAGGGTATAAATGTGACTGATGTTTAACTCCATGGCAAGGTTGGGTGTGATAGCACATGGTCGACAAATGCAGACTGAATCATAAAAATAAGGCAGAGGGTTAGGTCTCGGTCACACCAGCGTTTTATAATTTCAGACAGAAATCTATTCATTTCTGCAGAATCACCATGATAAGGCTTCAACCTCCTTCAATTTTGAAAATGTAAACTTGTGCCAATTCATTTAAAGTTACAACAGCAGAACACATCTTTCACAACTTACAGCCGCTACAAAGATGCAAGCAAATACATAAACACACCCTCTGTAGCACTAGTAGGCCTGTCAGCATGTAACACAAGTCCCACAAGTGCCATCTGCAGTGTGGGACTAGACCAGTCGTTCTCAAAGTTTTTCTAGCCATCATTAAAATTCTAGGGGAACCAGAACTATTAAAAAAGGATCCAGAAGTTGAATTTTAGTAAAATACAGGGCAGCATGATAGCATCATCTTGTTTGTTTATTTTCGCTACATAAATCATCTTTTATTCTACTCCTTACATACTTTTTGTGTGGCCTGCCCTTCAATCTGAGAACCACTGGACTTGATTAAACTGTCAGACTGATGTACAGAGAGAGAAAAAAGAGACTTTTTAGATTGCTATTTTTGTCAGCCCACACGGAAATACTACATTCTCATTTATTTTATGGGCCGCTGATTAAATAAAGTTACTGAAAATGCAGGGCACAGACAGCATCCTAACATCCTGTAGATACATGCTATGTCACTGTTGTGCTGCAGTTACTGTTTATAGATAAGGTGTTCAGAAATGTCACATGACATGTACTGAGTTATGGGATGTTTCAGTTTCTTCAGCTTTGGTCAACTTATCTGCCAGTCATGGGTTCAGGACAGCATGCTTTGTGGTTGGCAGTTAGCTCCTGATGTGAAGCTTACTGTTTTTGTTCTTATTTCTAACTTGTTGTGAAGCACACAACTTTCACAGGGTGTATCGTGTCTCCTGCCTTACTATACTTCTGCTTTTAGTCCAATCTATTCTTTTGTTAACCACAGGTTGTAAAAAGCCTCATCTTGGCACAGTTATTTTATGAGCAGCTTTCTCTGTATTGAACTGCAACACTTATCCAGCTCTTAGAACTGTGTTGTCTGTTCACATTTCCTAAATGCTCGCTTCCCCTAACTGCCATAATTTGTGGTTAGTTATGTTATTGTCCTTTTTAGGCATTCGGATGTTAGCAGAATGGCCTGTAGGCATCATTATAGTGAGTACAAATATACAGACTACTGAAATATACTGACAGCTGCTATTTGCTGTGCTAGCTATTATACACAAACACCAGTGTTGGGCTGGTTGCTCAAATAAACTGTACTTTTCTCCCCAAAATTCAGACCTAAAATCAAGTTTTGTTCGTTAAAATCAGAGTAATGTAATATTTCCAGCTGCTGAATTTAAGCGTTTTCATCTGCCAAGCTAGTTCCCTCCACGATTACAAAAATGAATCCAAGGATGTGATTGAATTGTAAGATTTCAAATTAGTAGAGAGGGGTTACAACAAAAGTAAGACTGTAACTAATAATCTTTTGGTTAGTTACTGGGGAAAGTAATATTATTGCTGTAATATTATTACTAGTAATGAGTTGCCCAGCACTGATGACACATGCTGTGTATTTCCGTTATTGACAGACTGAGAGGCTCTGTGCATTTGCTGTGAACTGGTGTGTCACTTTTCCATGAGCATGACCCTGATTTGCTTTAGTCCTCGAGTACATCATTTTCATGACTGACTGACATATCGATGTGCATGTGCATAAAATCAAATCACTTGCCTGCCCTTGTAATACTAATGCGGCTCAGGGAGGAGTTAAGGCTGTGAAGCAAAAGTTGCACTGCATAAATCATGTTTTTTAGCTGTTTGCCTTGTGGGGGCATCCAGATGAAGACCTAAACTGGTTCAGGGACTTCTGACTCAACCCAAGACTCATGATCCTGTTTTTTACTGACTTCTTCTACTGACTCTACTACTACTTTTTAGTTGGTTATTTTTTCTTTATTGCAAATAGGAAAAGACGTAATGCATCACCCCAAACAGCTGCCAGTTTAAAGGATATGACTGGCATATTTTTTATTGTCACCTCCATCTCTCAATACTTTCTGACTTCCCTAACCTGTTGGTGGCCTTAAGCTGACTGGTTCCTACTGAAGATGTGAATCTCACAAACAAATAGTATATATATATATATATATATATATATATAAATTATTGAATCTTTATATATATATATATAAAAAGATTCAATAATTTACTAAAACAGCTTGGCACTGTTGTATTTAATCTTACACAAACAGGAGTAAATAGTGCTTTTGTTGGGGACTATTTTCAGCAGCAGATTAGAATAGAGTTATAAGCTACAGTATATCAGCCTTTAAAATACACTGCAATTCTACTGTTTCAGATGTTTGTGAAGCCACGGAGCTTCCGGGTCCCGAAAGACGGTTTATAATTTTCAAAGAGAAACAATCTGGAAGAATATTCCATAATATAATGGTATTTCTTGATAAATCAGGCTGTCCACGACGTTTGGAGGACCAACACTGATTGCACGCACACAGCTGGCAGACAATCCTTTTGGTCCTATCACTGGATTTGTTGACAATAAGACAAATATAAAACATCACCAGACTTATTCTTTCAGACTCAGAGGAGGAAGGAAGTATTATTGTTTCACTGACTGGGTTAAGAAGGTCAATCTTGGCCACACAACTGGCAGCAATGTAAGTTAGTATTGTAGGTTTTTGGACTCCTTTCTGGTCAACTATGAATATTTAACATTACCACTCAAACTAGAAGATGAGAATATTCTTCATACTCTGTCCTGAACAGCGTGACCAGAGTAAAAATCCTGTAGAGGTTAATGCAATAACTGAAATTGTGAATCACTTCTTTTTGATAGATAACTAAGCCTTATATATCAAATCCTAATTTTCATTAACATCAAGAACGCAGCTGCAACCATTTCCCAATTTGTCTTCTATTTATCTCCATTTCCATGGTGACCCTTTATTTCATGACCCCACTTAAAAACATGATTCATTTCCAGCCTCTGTAAGTCCTTTCGTTGTCATATGTTCCATTACTTCACAAAGATCACAGAGATACGATTTCAGAGAAGCAATCCACCTATAATTAATAGGCTTACTGGCTTCCAAATTCTGGGCAATCTGCCCTCCTGCCATACTTTATTACACCAGTCTAAAAATGCCTCTAATGCTTTATCACTAACATGGTCGAACCTAACCTTTTTGATCATTTTAGCCTTGATTTATCCTCATCTAATAATAATAAAAAATGCATTTATTACAGACTCCCACTCCTCAAAAAATAATAAACTTTCTTTCCTTGTTGCTTCCCATCCATTTCTTTCTGCTTTAGACATGTTCACAAGAGTATAGTAGAGCTTTGTCTTTGTTTGTTAAACAGAGCTTATTTTCCCAACCCCGATTCCCAAGTGGTCAAATCTGAGAAGACCTACAGTAACCTTCAGCTCTAAAAAAATGTCTTGGCAACTTTAATACCACCCACTGTTGTTTCTCCATCTTTAAAGGCCCTACCTGGGATCTTAGTGCAGCCCTTTCTTTGTGTTTTTCAATTATTCACAAGATGTTTCTTGCTTTGGAAGCGCTAAGCAGCAAAAGCAGAGACCAGAGGATAATCAAACATTCAGTTTCATTCTTTTAATGGTAACTACCTTACTTGAAACTCTAAACTCAATATCCTGTTCAGGGGTCGTGGGGAGCTGGAGTCTCTCCCAGCACACATGAGAGAAGAGTCATGATACACCCTTGACTTGGTCTTGGTCACCACCTTTCTCTGGACCACTCTGAAACCTCCTCTCAGCTACAATCCCTACTGCTAGCTAAGCACCTTATTTACCCCCACATTCAGTCATTTTTAACTGCCCTCTCCCCACCACAGTCCAATTACCCATACCCTGATTGCCAGCTATCCCACCAGTCCCTACAGGCCACACTCCAGTCAGGTTTCAAAATAATACAATCAGCCAGTTTAATTACAAATAAATTAAAATCCAACCATAAAATGTCATTAAGTTGCTTGTAAAGGGGGGATCGAAAGTAAATTTGTTTCCAGCTTCTCAATTGTGAGTATTTGTTTCTTTGTTTT